GGGGGGGGGGGGGGGGGGGGGGGGGGGGGGGGATAAAGTGCAAATTTCTATTGGTTTGCTTCAACACTCATTTTAGATATTGTTTATCAAAAATAATCTTGTACTGCTGGTATACTGGTCAGGCTGTAAGTCAAAGATAATGATTAACAACAACACTCATTCTGATCACGCGGCAACTAATGTCGCGTGTTTAGATTGGTATTATGGAAAGTCTTACAATTTCTAGGAACTTCGACGTCCCTAATAAGAAATCCTTGAATACTTAAGAACGGTTCTCCAAAAGGCTTATATTCCATTCGAACAAAACTCCATTTAGCTAATAGATATATCTAATGGTCAAGTTGTCATTTTATACCAGACTGACACAAAACTCTTGGTATTGATCTAATACAAAAGCTTAACCATTGAAAACGCTTAACATATATTTAAAGTTCGATTCGAATAGAATGTAAAAGTTTTAGAGAGACATTTTCGAGTGTTCCAGAAGTTTGTGCGAGTTGCACTAGGAGAAGGGTTTTGTTCTCTACTGTAAATATCGTTTTCAGACATAATCCTTTCGGTCTAGAAAAACAATAACTCGAAAACTCACAACAAACGAAGAATCCTACAAAAGTGGAGGAAAATATTTCTCATGCATTCAAACACAGAATTCATTTATATTTTTGGCTTTAATTCAAGTTTCTAGACCTTCTGTTTTCAGCCTAGGGAATATGCTGGTGAAAACTGAGATTTACGGTTCAGAAATCCAAAAAGTCATGATGAACATGCAAATTCGAAAAAATTCTTCTGAAATTCAAAAGGGTAAAACTCAAAAAGGCAATCACAAATTCTAAGACGTTACTTTTCCCTTTTCATATCCAACTTTCTGTCACTGTCGATGATGATGTTTAAAGGAATCGATCGTAAGAGAAAACCTGGGAGTATTTCAAAAGAAGAATATAAAAATAAAATATCCGTTTGAGAAACTAATAGACCTTTCAAAATTCGAACGAGCTGAGTGTTGATTTAGGTGTGGATGAAAAGTCAACGAACACTTACACTGACACTCGCATTATTCTCAGACAACAGGCTACTCTCATCTTCTAACAAGTACCTCTACAATTCTCTCGAAAACTCGACTCACAATCCTCTTGTATGGATACCTGTACTCTACTTTGATAACCTCATCAATAACTTTCACTAGACACACTAAGTCAATGACTCATCAATGTCCTTTCCTAACAGATTCTATGTCTCCTTCGAGAACCTATTCGAGCACTCACTGGATAATCCATGAGATCACTTCCAAGTAGCAGTCATATAACTGGTTTTAGAGCATTTTCGAGTATTCTACCAGGGACCTTCAAAACTTCTCAACAGTTCCTCTCATAATCTTCTTGAGAACTCCTTCAACGACTCGAGATCCTGCTATGAGTAGATAGTTGAAAAGACTTCTCTTGTTTGAACTGATCTTTTTTATAATTGGTTGAACAATTCTATTCTCCATTCTCTGCGTATATTGAAAAAACTACATTCTGAATAATAAGAACTTGTTTCTTAAACTTTCGATAGAATTTTTGACAGATAAGTTCTTTGCCGAGTTATTGAGATCATTGTCGAAGAAAGTGAAATGCAACGGAATCGAAATTGGACAACGGTTCTGATGATATTTACTAATTATAGGGAAAGCAGTTACTCTTTATTTATACTAGCAACAACATAAACTTTTCTGTCTTCACAAACTTTGTAGATTAAAAATTTTATTCATAAAGTTTAAGAAAAACGCGTTCCATTGATTAATGCCACATTAGATTTGTGACAGCGTATTCTTCGACCACCGAATATTACGAAATCAGTAAATAAACGGAATTAGAACTCATTCTTCCAACAGCACAAACGTGTATTAATGTTTTCATGCGTTCGAATCTATTCGTCTCTGATAAAGATCTTATGTTAACAAAAATTAGAAAGTACATCGTTACCGCTCAAACGATAATACAATCACTATTAGTGTTGAGCAAGAAAACGTTGCTAATTGTATGTATTATAATGGCTATTGTATTTATGTTTGCGGGTTATTTCATATCTGATGTTAAGGAAGATCCCTATGCAAAATTCCTGTCTAAGACGATACAGGTTCTTGGCATTAATGAAACATTATATTTCCATCGATACTTAAACATGGGCATATCATTCGAAGGAGATACTGACTGCAATTTGATAAATCGATCGCGCTGTTACACAACAAAGAAAAGCTTACTAGTGTCATTCTGGCGTGAGAGTTCACGCGATAAATGGTTAGTAAAAAATATATTAAAAATATTTCCTGAAAATCATTTTACTCATGTCATTATGGTACACGATAATTCGAGTTGGTCATCTTTCCCCAATAACGAACGACTAATTTGGATACATGTCAACGCGCAAAAGCGATTCTGGTATTTGAAACGTTTCCTAACACCACCAGTTTTGAAAGCATACAACTACATTTGGGTTCTCGATGATGACGTAGAATTATTATTTGATCCGTTGCATTATGAGTGCGTTATTACACAACTAAATATTAGTCTATCGGCCCCAGGTCGATTAAAAGGCATTGCTTCTCATTCAATTACACGTGTAAACGAAGCTTTTATTAGCAAAATCGGTCGATGGACAGATTTTGTTGAAATCGGTCCCATTTTCATCGGAAGTTCAGCAGCATGGGAATGCCTCTGGCATTATTTGAGCGCTTTTGTGGGACTAGGATGGGGACTTGATCTTATTTGGTGTAAACTACTAGCTCATAAGTGTTCATTAAATACAACCACCGAACAGTCGTGTGCTGTGCTCGATATCTTTATTGTCAATCACTTATCAGAATACATCGGCTCAACTGCAGCAGGAAGTCAAGAAGTTCCGGCTTATAACAAATATTATGGTAATTTTCACACAAAGCAAATAAATATTGGACCATTGGCAAGCGATCGAACAATTTATTCGTCGTGCAAC